TCAATATCATAATTAGGATCTCTATAATATGTTTTGTATGATGCATTACTTCGATCTTGTTCTTCCTCTAGTAATGCTTCATACCTAGACACCTTATAGGTTAGTTCCACTAAGTCTCTAAACTCAGTTGAGTCAAACTTCTTTCGAAGCCTAAACTCTAGACCGTTTTGAGCCAATGTCACGAATTCAGGCTCTGGTAGGTTGATCCTATATTTGTTTCGTACTCTTTTGAATTTGACAATTGAGGAGCCTTCTCGTCAAGCCTTTGACTCAACCTTACCAAGTCTGCCATAGAAACTTCTGGCTCTGTTTGGAAGAATTGGTCATGAAATGCCTCCTCTATTTGTTGCCAAGTTTAGATAGAGCCAGGTGTAAGGTTAATATACTATACAAAGGCTGCTCCAGTTAGAGAATTTGGAAATAGTCTTAACTTCATGTAATCATTATTGGTAAATTCACTACATTGAGCGGCGAACCTAACAATATGCTCTACCGTTGACTGGTTTCCATTCCCATAAAAAAGAGCAAAGTCTGGTATCCTAAACCCTCTTGGGTATTCATGTACCCTATCTACCCATTCTCGATACGATTTCCTGTACACAGGAGTTTGAATTCCCCGAGCTATCGGTCCACACATCTCTCTAACAATATCAGCAATTTGGTCCCTAGGAAACATGTTTTGTGCTTGTTGAACCACTACTGGAGGAACAAACACAGGATTTGGTGGACAACCTTGTGCCTGAGGTCCTCTTGGTCCATAAAGCGGTATATTTGGAATTGGTTGTCCTTGTGGTGCTGGCTGCTGTTGAGAATATGGGTGACCCCTCTGAGCCTGTCTTGCGAAAGGACCTGTGAAAGGTGCTAGAACAGGTGTTGTATCTCTTCCAGTCGCAAGAAACCCTTCTAAGCCCCCGTGTACAAATTCGAACAAAGGATTAGTGAACCCCCTTATGCTAGGTTGTAACGCCCCACTTTTTATTACTCGAAACCATTACCAGATTCATTAATTTAATTCAATTTCAGAGATTACATGCGGAAAACTCTTTATATCAACGAGTAAGAATAAACATAAATTCTCTCATCCGAATGCAAATTAAATGTAACATGAGCATAACTAATTAAATTGCCTGTAGGTTTACATTTTTAAAAGTAAAAGAAAGGGGTTTAACCCTTTTACATCAATGGCATTCAGCCTACAAATAAAAGGCCCCGTGGCCAACAGGTAAAGAAGATCCAAGACCTTGAAACACTTCTCGATGTTCACCTGAAAAAGGATTAGCAACGTGGGATGAACATAAAGTCCAGTAAGGATCTCAACATGATTTTAAACAATAACAGCTTACAAATAGCTATGATCATAAATGCTTAGTCTCATACTGTATAAATAATGTGACAGTTTATATAGAAATATACGTGCATAAGAACTTTTCTCAAAACCATTCATTTCATTCAATAATGTAAGCAATTCACTTTTCTTTCTCCTTGTTACCTTTTTTCCAAAATTCATATAACCATAACAGATTTTAGAAAACAATTCCACCAAGCCCATTACGTTTTCTCTCACTTTCCGAATTTGCACCTGATTTGCCTTTTCAAAACATGTTCACAAGTATCCAATATCCTTCACATTATTTACAATCCCAATATAGCATTTACGTCCGTTTCCAATACATTCATATCTATACATGCATACCTTTAGTACAAAAGGAAACACACAAGCAACCAACAAGTATTAAATCAACAAATAAGGCAACTCAGTCTTCCAAAATTATAACCATCATAACCCATAACGTACCCAGATACACTGAGACAATAATAATAACTAAGTTCTGCTCTACCTGCCTTACGCACGGTAAGCCAAGGATACACCTTTCCACAATGAGATGCCAATTTACCAGACACAAGCTGAAAGGTAGTGGTACCTCTGCCAAGTTTTCCAGACGCTAGCTGGAAGCTACTGGTACCTCTGCCAAGTTCTCCAAGCGCTAGCTGGAAGGTACTGGTACCTCTCATTCTAAGGGCGGTACACATTACTAATCATTACAACATGACAAAGTACAACCAACAATTGTAATGCATACACATAAACTATTCAACAACTTACAACCAACACAAGTGTAATGCATACACAACAATTCAACACAACAATGTCATCCTCCACCAGTGACCAAGGACAAAACTTCTAAATGTATGTATTCAACACACGAATTATAATAATTCAACTCTCATGAGATTTTAAATCCAACAACAACGATAGTAGGATAGCTAAGGACAAAACCTCCAAATGTATGTACTTAACACACTAATTGTAATAATTCAATTCTCATGAGATTTTAAAATCCAATCTTGAGTAAATTTCTGAAATTCATACTGAGTTATCATTTCATTCGTCCATTCCAAAAACCAATTCTCTTATTTTCCAAGTTGACATACTCCACTCCTTTATCCCAATCCATTCTTTTTATTTCACAAAAACTAACTCCATGGATGTCAAAGCCATAACCCAACTCAATTTAATATGTTCAATCCAAAATAATTTCAGTGCCATAGTTAATTCTCCCTTTTAGCTATTAACACATTTACACAACCCATAATAACAATTCACCAACATTATTCAACTTTACCCTTTTTTAATTCACCAAGTCAAAACATTAAATTAGGGCTTTTTCTTCTTTCAACATAAACATGCTAAATTACTCCCCAATTAACCCAAACAACAATCAATTTAACAATTTCATTCCCAAACAACAAACCCTAGGTTCCCTTTTATGACTTTCAAAGAAATCCATAATGGATGTGATTTTTATGCAATACAAATCTATCACATATCTATCTGTAGATGAGGTATTGAAAAGGAACAAGGAAATCCCTACCTCAAGATTCGAAACTCAAGATTTGAAGCTAAAGATGATGACCCAACTTGAAATTCCAATGAAATTGCAAAACAATCGGTAGAAGTCTTGATCTATGCTTGCCCTTCAACATTCTTGAAAGATTTGGGGTGAATCTTGGGTAAATAGAAGATAAATCAAGAATTTGGAAGGTTAGGGTTTCATTTTGGAGGATGGAAGGAGAAGAGAGGGAGAAAAAATAGAGTTTTAGGGCCAAAAAGTCACTTTATAATGTTTGTTAGCAACGTGGTCGCTCGAGTGAAGGAAGCTTGGCTCGAGCGTACAAAAGAAGCTCTCAGAATTTCTGAAAATCGCGCAGTTCACTCGAGCGAGCATGCTTCCAACACAGAAACACAAAATTCAAACAGGTATAATTCTCTCGTCTAGACTCCGTTTAGGGTCATTCTTGTGTCCAAATTGAAGCCCCAAAAGTAAGCTTTCCAATGATTCTAGTCTCACATCAAGATTCAAAGTATGGTGAGAGAAAATGATGAAAGAGTGAAAACTACTCAATAACAATTATTCAAATTTGGAGTTTCTGATTTAATCTCACCAACCACTATGGTAACACCTTAACCAAGGCTCAAATAACAACTAAGAAGGTTCTCAATCAAGATAATTAAAGGGTCAAATATAGTTCCATTATAATAGGAAGCACAGAGTGCTACACTCATTTTGTTATTGATTTCGGTTAATTGAACTATTTACTTTCAATAGTCGTGGAGTAAAATATTAATGCAAAAATTCAAGATGATCGGATATTTGTATTTTTATGTTTGAATGAACTTTTTATTACAAACAGTAGATGGTTATTCTTAAAATTATATTTATCGTCTATTTTTTAAAAACAAATATTATTCAAACATATTGTTACTATTGTTCAATCATTTTTTATTTTTTATATGATATTTTACTCGATGAGTCTTTAAAGATAAACGATTTGGATTACCAAAATCGATCTCCAAATGGGTCTATTCAGCCTAAACACTCTCTCAAATTAAAATCACAAGTTCAGGTTAACCAAACCCTATACATATATTCTATATCACCACTCATATCAACATTGGACCATCAACAATTCAAAATAATTATTGGAAATTCACCCCGTATTGCTACTTAACAGACTACAAAGCCCCAACTATTGAAGATGTCGAATATACCAACTTTTAGCACTATTTGCCAAAAATTTTAGTCAATTCCATTTGGCCCTTTTTTTTTAATATTTATTTTATTTATTATTTTTTGAGGGAGAGTGTAGTATTGCACTTGAAATAATAGGGTTAAAATTTTTGGTACTCACTTTTCATTGCCTCAAAGTGGAAGGTTCAATAATTATGTGATATATCTTATACGAGAAATTATATATATCTAAAAAATAAACAAGATAAACTTCCAAACATCTCATGAGAAATGTCAATGCCAAGTAGTTTAATATAATCAAATTAACATAATAAACGTATCCGGGGATCTTGCTCCGCACATGGGTTGAAACGCGCATTACTAATCTCAATTCAAATACTATATAATATATAACTTTTGAAACCCCTTCAGTTTTTTTTGGGTGGATTTAAAATAAATTTGGGTGGATAAACCCCTTTCAGTTTCATGAAACATATGATTACCAGAAATTATCTCCTTCGCAGCCTGTGGCAGGAAACTTGTACAAGTAATGTACTCCCTCCATCCCAAAATAATAGTCTCTTTAGGAGAATCTAACTTTTTTTGGTAGTACAATTATTGCATTTGAAAAAAAGTTGATTTTCCAAAATTATCCTTTTGATAGTACATTTTTTGGAAATATCAATGTCATAATTGTACTTTTTATATTGTATATTAATTTAAAAGAAGGGCAAAATAAGAAATTTATATTATTTTTATACTTGATTTTTGAAGAGGGACTAATATTTTGGGACGATTAAAAATAGAATAAGGGATTAATATTTTGGAACGGAGGGAGTATAATTTTTATATTGCCAGAGGATTAGTAGCAAACACCAAATCTAAAAAAATATCATTTTAAAATTATACTATACTACCTACCTCTTGGAATAGCATTGCCAACCCTCTATATAAACAACTCTTCATAATAATCACGCATTCAAAATTGTCATGGCTACTAGTTCAATTTTTGATTCAAGCTCTAATGAGCGACAATGGATCAATGAAATAAAAAACATTATTGAAGAAGAGGTTAAGGTTGACATTGAAGTTCCTGTTTCAATATTTCGTGTGCCTGCAGCTCTAAGCGCTTTCAAGCCAGAAACATATATGCCACAACTAATAGGCTTGGGGCCTTACCATCATCTTCAACCCGAGCTCTATGAGATGGAGAGGTACAAGCTTGCTGCAGCAAGTCGGCTCCAAAAGCAGTTCCAAAGCCTTGAATTTGAACAACTTGTTGACAAGCTTATGGAATTTGAGTACAAAGTTCGAGCATGTTACCACAAGTTTTTGGACCTCGATCGGGATACCCTACTCTGGACCTCAATCGGGATACCCTACTCGGGATACCCTACTCTTGCTTGAGTTTCTTCATATTTATGTCAGCAAAACTGATATTTATGACACAGCTTTAGTTGATTCTGCAGGAAGAAAATTATCTCATGATTCAATCCTCAGTGATATAATGATGCTTGAAAATCAGATCCCTTTCTTTTTGTTAAGAAAAATCTTGTCCATCCAATGCGCATCAATTGATCTGGATGACAACTCATTGCCATTGATGTTAACGCCTTTCTGTAAAGCAATCTCTCCACCGAAATTGATGGAGAACTTTCCGTTGTCTCAAGTTTTTGAGTATGCACATTTGTTGGACCTTTTGTACCATCTAATGGTGCCCAAATTGGAGGAAACCCAAAAACCGAGCACAACGGATGTCCAAAAGAGTACTACCAAATTCAATGCAAAACAACATGTTGATTCAGGTAATCCTTGTCAAATTTTCACCACCCTTTGGAACAAGTTATCAAGTCTAAATGTTAGGTTGCCAAGTCAAATTACAAAACCTATCAAAAACTTAATAGCTCATGTTGGGAAGATTATTACTGTCTTCCAGGGATGTCCAACTTAGCATCAAAATCTAAAGAAAAAATAAAACCTGAAAATCCAATCTCAAATGAGGGCCAAAAAGCTCCTCAAGTAGAAAAGATTATGATACCTTCAGTATCATACCTTTCTAACATTGCTGGGGTTGAATTCTACCCTACTACTGGTGACATCACGACAATTAGGTTTGAAGAGGAAGAGAAGAGATTTTACCTCCCTGTCATCACTTTGAATGTCCACTCCGAAGTAATAATGAGAAACTTGGTGGCATACGAAGCATCAACAGTATCAGAGTCCCTTGTTTTTGCAGGGTATACTGAATTATTAAATGGGATTATGGAGACCGTAGAGGATGCAAAGTTGCTTAGAGAAAAGAAAATCATTATAAACAGATTGAAAAGTGATGATGAAGTTCTACAACTCTTCAATAGTATCAATAAATCTATTCAACTAACCCACGTTCCATATGTTGATAAGGCCATTGAAGATGTGAACAGGTTCTTCTACAATTCACGGAGGGTTCAGGCATATAAATGGATCAAGAAGTACGTGTATGGTTCTTGGAAGATTTTTACACTTCTAGCCACCATTTTGGTCATGTTGTTGATGGCTCTACAATCATTTTGCTCTGTTTATAGTTGTACTAGTATTGTGAGAAAACTCAACACAACGATTCATAGTTAAATGCATTAGCATGCAGATGTTAAAGTGGCTTGGTTTGGCAAAACTTTTAAGTTGGTTTTTTAGGTTTCTTTGCATGATTTCTTTTTGCCCTTTTTCATCAGTTTTGAACATATTATTGTTATTTCCAAAAAATTAAGAAAACAAAAAACAAAATGGAATACATAAAAAAATCCCAAAAAACACTGTTGCCAAAGCAAGTTGTTCTCAATTAGAATAAGGAGCATCTCCATTCTTATGATTTCTTATTGTTTAGTTTATCTTTGTAAGGCTTTTCGTATGAAGTTGACTTGGTCAAATTTTCAAATATAGTGTGTACTATGTGCTAATAAGATTTGCATTGCCTTTGAACAGATGTTTTATTGTAAAATAGTAATGACTCATTATTTTTCACCATTATCTCTCCTCTTTGTCCTTGTCATTTTATTTTATTTTTATTTATTTATTTATTTTTTGTCAAACATGTACCTGTCAACGTTATAACGCAGAGTGAGAATCGTCTTGTGCAGAAATATAAATGGTTGTTCAGTAATTATATTATCATGATTTTCACATGTTAAACTTGCCCATCCTTGCCATAGTGAACAGTTATGTAAAAGTAAAAATTTCAAACCGAAAAGTTGTGGCACTGAAAAACTTATATAACTTTTTAAATCTAAAAGATTTAATTTAAAAATTGCAATATGCAATCCAAATTGAGCACTATTTTTGACCTTTATGGATTGATAAATCTAATACTTTTAATTTAATATTAAGACATAATTAGAATACATTTTCAAATTTAAGTGAGACGTGATTGTGCAACTGTAAGTTTTTACTGTAATCCTAATTAGAATTCATTTTCAAATTTAAGTGAGACAAAAATATTTACATGGTTCGACCCAATGCATACGTCTATGGGAGAGAAAGAGATAAAGTATATGTACAAAGTATATGGAGCTAGGTTGAAACTGGTTCCCATCTACTGAGAGGGTTAACAGGATGTCTAAGATTTGGGTTGATATAGTTAACTTTGTGGCTTCTAGGGCAGAGCTTCTCCAATTTTTTAGAAGTAATGTTGTTGTCAAGATTGGTGATGGTAGAAGATCAAGATTTTGGTCTCATTGTTGGTCAGATGGTGTGTGCCTTAGAGATGAGTTTCCTAGACTTTACTCTCTTTCAATTGACAAAACAGGGTCAGTGTTTTTGTTTCATAACAGTAGAGATGCTTTTGGGAATTGGCTCTTTAATTTTAGGAGACCCCTTTTTGCTTGGGAGGAAGAAGAGTTGAGTAGATTGCTAGTGCATCTCAGCAGTACTCCAGTGCTTAGAGCAAATGTTGCTGACTGTTTGATTTGGAATACAGATCCATCAGATATCTTTAGTGTTTCATCTGCCTATCATTGGTTTGAATTAGGTTTTGGTCCTACCTGTATGGTTTCTAGATCATTGTGGAAGGCTGCTGCACCACCAAGAGCACAATTCGTTGGCTGGTTGGTTTGGAGGGGTAGAATAAAGACGGCTAGTTACTTAAGAAGGATTGGTATTTTTACTGTCAATGTTGATGTTTGTTGTGTCTTCTGCAAAGAAGTGGAGGAAACTATTAACCATGTGTTACTACTCTGTCCTTTTGTGTGGCTGATCTTGTCTTTCTTTGTCAGGTGGTGGGGGCTGCAGTGGGTTTCTCCAGGATCTGTTCAGAGTTTACTACAGTGGTGGTCTGGAGGTAGAATAAGGAAGATGGAAAAGAAATTATGGAGTGTAATCCCGTTTGCAATTTTCTGGTCCATTTAGAAACAGAGGAATGATTGTGTGTTTAATGGGGTGAAGCCTAATTTTGAAGTATTATGTGAAACCATTAAGGTGCGAATTGCCTTGTGGATTAAGTGCTCAGTTTCTTCCCTGGCTAATTTTGTTAATGATCTGGTCCATAATCTGCATCAGGTGAGAAGATGCCTGGGTTAGTAAGTAAATTGCAGTAACTTCTTTTTGTCATTGTTTTGGTTTATAATTGGGTTTACTTGTCAATGTCTCAGAACTGGGTCATGGTTTTGCTTCAATTGGTGCATAATCTGTTCGGTCGGCCTGGCTTTTTTATCTGTTCTGTTTTTGTTTTATGGAATGGTGACTGAGTCTGGTACTGGCCCTACACTTGGAGTCCTTGTTGAGGAGTTTGGTTGGTTTGTTTGCTATGAAGTTTTGTGGTTGCATAGTCTTCATAAAAGGTTGGTTCAGGTTTTGACTTGGTGAGTTTTGCTACTATGTAGCAGCTTACACTTGTCATTGTTTGCTATGGTGAGTTTTGAACTGCAGCAGCTTATACTTGTCATTGTTTTGGTTTATAATTGGGTTTACTTGTCAATGTCTCAGAACTGGGTCATGGTTTTGCTTCAATTGGTGCATAATCTGTTCGGTCGGCCTGGCTTTTTTATCTGTTCTGTTTTTGTTTTATGGAATGGTGACTGAGTCTGGTACTGGCCCTACACTTGGAGTCCTTGTTGAGGAGTTTGGTTGGTTTGTTTGCTATGAAGTTTTGTGGTTGCATAGTCTTCATAAAAGGTTGGTTCAGGTTTTGACTTGGTGAGTTTTGCTACTATGTAGCAGCTTACACTTGTCATTGTTTGCTATGGTGAGTTTTGAACTGCAGCAGCTTATACTTGTCATTGTTTTGGTTTATAATTGGGTTTACTTGTCAATGTCTCAGAACTGGGTCATGGTTTTGCTTCAATTGGTGCATAATCTGTTCGGTCGGCCTGGCTTTTTTATCTGTTCTGTTTTTGTTTTATGGAATGGTGACTGAGTCTGGTACTGGCCCTACACTTGGAGTCCTTGTTGAGGAGTTTGGTTGGTTTGTTTGCTATGAAGTTTTGTGGTTGCATAGTCTTCATAAAAGGTTGGTTCAGGTTTTGACTTGGTGAGTTTTGCTACTATGTAGCAGCTTACACTTGTCATTGTTTGCTATGGTGAGTTTTGAACTGCAGCAGCTTATACTTGTCATTGTTTTGGTTTATAATTTGGTGGCTGAGTCTGATGTATAAATTTTGATCTGCTACTAGCCCTACGCTTGGAATCCTGTACTTGGAGAACTCTGGTTTGTCTGCTATGAAGTTTTGTGGCTGCATATTCTTCTTTAAAGGTTTGTTCATCATTTGTCTTGGTGAGTCTTGCTACTATGCTGTTTGTAGTATGCGAACAAGCTGGTTGTTATGCACAACAATGGATGTTATAGTTAATGTATCTACTTTTACTCTCTGTTGGTTTCTCACCAGCTAGGAGCGTCGAGGTTCTGCTAGCTCCTAGCTCCTCTTTATTGATATAAATTTTCATACTTTGTATGTTTCATTAATAAAGTTTTCTTTTGCTAATAAAAAAAAAAAAAAAAACTCACAGCTCTCAAACGCTTTTCACAACTCTCTTTTTTCTTCATTTTCTATCTATCAACTCAGCTCACCGCTCTCCATATTTATACACAAACGGGAGAGCTAACGATTAACACTTGCCTACCAACAACCAACCACTAAAATAAATGGTAAGCCATTAACATAGCCACCTTACAATAAGATAACTAGGTTGAAAAACTCTAGATCTCTAGCCCAAATCTACAGCCTCAATTCTTAACTTCCAAAGCCAACTTCACATGGTGTGGATATTGGATTTATTCTCTAGTGTGGCCCAATAGCCTACATATATTTATATATTTTAATTTATTTTAACTCCATAATTTAGATAAAGCCAATATTTGATATAAAGTTCAGTAATTAGAATTTTAATATAAGTACTCTTCTAAGATAAGAAGGAAACCTTGATGGATAAGAATTCTTCTGATAGAGTTTATTTGACCCTCTTCTCAGTAAATACAAGAATCAGACAACACAATACCAAAACCATGCTCATGTCCATGTGTATGTGAGTTACATTCACATACATTCCAATAGTATCCACAGACAAGCAAATATGACATTGGGAAGGAAAAAAAATGAAGCCCAATAATTTTGCGATTCGTAATGTGACACATATGTTTTGAAAAAGTAGCACAACTGCAAAACACAATTTAAATACAAACGAATGTAACACAGACCATACGCACGTAACAGCCTTCGAATCTACAGAATTGCGCCAATGTATGGCTGTACATACGATCTCCATAACAAAGTGTGCCAATGGATTGCTATGACAGATTGCGAAATCCATACGATATATGAGGACATTGATACAACACAGACCATAGAATGTAGCACATAATGTAACACAGACCACGGAAGTTGATGCAAGATTACCATAACAAAGTGTGCCAATGGATTGCTATGACAAATTGCGAAATCCATACGATATATGAAGACATTGAAAACAAAACATTTGAAAAAAAAACCAGAGCAACACTCACCAATTGAATAAGCAGACAACTTGATCTCCTTCCCTCAAACAATCTGACTCCAAAGCGGCAAAATGAAATAACCAAACCATCCAACCCAATACAATTTTGAAAACCTAACAGACTCCATGATCATAGCGCATATCACGGCAGCAAACAATATGGAAACAAAACGGTTAAAACATTGCAGCATATATGAAGGGTATAATAGTAAACTAATTCTATTAAAACACAATAGACCTTTGTTGCCATCCTTCCCCGTCGCTGCAAGCAAATTGCCTTTAAATCTCCCTTTCAAAAAAGTGCCGTTAAGAAACAATAATGGGCAGAGATGGTTGAATTCGTCAATGCAAGCTTTGAATGAAATGAAGAATCACTTAAATCGGTCGGTAGACTACTCAAAATCCAAGTTGACATAACTCCCAGGGTTGTAATGCATAACCGCATCCGCGTACCACCTAAGTTGATCAAATGAAACATGATAGTCACCATACACTTCACCTCTTGCCTTCTCCACACCTAACCATGCTGTGTGGTAACTAACGTTAAGGCCGTACTCCTTTTTAAGGTCAAACACGACGTCGGTGGGACATGTAAGCAGCTTATCACGTAACCGATCACCAATAACATTGCAAACCAATTCAGAGTTAAG